GGGGGGGGGGGGGGGGGGGGGGGCCACGGCACTCTACCCAGGGGGACAGCTTGAGGCTCTGTCTCAAAAAAAAAAAAAAAAAGAGCAATTAGGTGCTTCAGGCGAGAAGAAAGCACTTTTGAACAATAGATCAATAACCAAGCTATAACTTGAGAAAATATTTTTATGATGAGACACATTCAAATATTATGGGGACTTGGGACACTATATCATTGCTCCAGGGATTAATATATTTTCTCTTGTGTGAAAAGGTGTTCAGTGTCAGTCAAGCTTTTCTTAATCTGGCTACTAAAGGCAAACCGGACTACAACACAGGTCTGTAAACTGTCAGAATGGATTCTGAGTGTAACCTTTCCCCATAGATAAGAAATGGGTTTTAAGAAAGGGAAAGGACTCTTTGTACTCTCCATTTCTCAGGAAATTCTTATCAAGAATATATCTACAGAATATTCTGTAGCTGCAGAATAAATGTAATAAGCTCTGGTGGGTATTCCATGGGACAAAATTTCTAGTGGAATAAAGGAGTCAAAAGATGCTGCTTATGACATCTGATAAATGGACTTTGCACCGGTGCCATTAATTTTTCTCCTTGTGAAATGCCATCCCCGGCTTCTCTGTGTCTATAGATTATCATTCCCAGTGCTTATGCTTTATTTTATTTTATTTATTTTTTTATAGGTGGGATTCATTGAGGGTACAAAGAACCAGGTTACATTGATTGCTTTTGTTAGATAAGGACCCTCCGAATGGCAGAGTAATGGCCAGGAAGGAGAGAAGGCGGACAGGCAGACTTCCTAGAGTGTAGGAGCATCTCCAAGGCCATGGTGAAGTTCAGGGTGAATCAAGCTCCAACTTTGCAGTTTTACCATCCTAAGACATATTACACAGAAAGCACATGGCCCAATGAATAGAAGCTGTTCTTGCTGTAAAAATTTTTTAAGCATAAAAGGGAAAAGCTGGAGCCAAAGTACCATAGAGCTTCTGTCTTTAAGGGCACAAATTCCAGCCAAGTGTAAATTCCTCTGCCAACTTCTTTTATTTATTGATTTATTTTTCGTCTGCCAGCTTCTCATCAGCATCTGGAGCCTAAAGCTCGCCTCAAACTATTGCTAATACAAGAAGCTGGTATTGTATATGTGGATCTCTGGTTCGCCCTTCCGTCCTTATTGTTTATAAGGGGATCTAAAATATAAAAGATTAACAAATAGAAATCGTAGATGTCTGGTCTTACCATTTTTGTCTGCTCTCCTCAGTATCTGGAAAGAAAAACAGAAAAGTTTTTTTCACTCTTTTTAATAAGTATTGCAGTGAACATTTTGAACTTACACATAATTTATCTATTATTAAATTTTAAAAGTTCCAATGTGATGTAAAGGTTTCCCAGTTGAGATCTTTCTTTACAATAGCTCAAACCTGAAAACAACCCAAATGCCCATCAACAGGTGAATAAACCATGAACAGGATAAACAAACCATTATATATCTAGGTAGCGGAATACTATTGACAAAAAAATGAGCTATTAATGCACACTACATCTTGGATAGATCTCAAAATAACAAGGCTAAGGAGAAAACCTAGATACAGGGCAGTGCCTGTGGCTCAAAGGAGTAGGGCACCGGCCCCATATGCCGAAGGTGGCGGGTTCAAACCCAGGCTCCGGCCAAAAACTGAAAAAAAAAAAAGAAGGAAAAGAAAAAATCTAGATACAAAGGAATATCTACTGTGGTTCCATTTACATAAATTTCTAAAAACTGCTAACTATCTGTAGTGATAGAAAGTAGATTAAGGGTTGACTAAGAATTGGACGGGCAGAAAAAGGTGGATTACAACAGGGAGAGAGACAAGTTTTGCAGGTGATGGAGATCTTGACAGTGGTGATAGTTTCACATATGTCAAAGCTCATCATGTTTTCACTTTAAATATGTACACTTTAATGTAAGTTAATCATATCTCAATAAAACTGATAATAAACAAAAAAGATAAAAAGAATAAATCATCACTTAATAGGAGCCCACATGTCTCTACTATACCTTACTTGTATGCATTAATCATATTATCTTAGATATAGTTAAAATTGTCTTTGGTGTATAGAAACTATACAGCCATCTGGCTATCTGTTACTCTTTGGTAATGATTTCCAATATACTTTCTAGAAAACTGATCTTTCTTCGTCTCTTGGACCCTGTGCTCCAGGCTTGGGCACAGCACTCAGGTCCAGCAATGAGTGTGTCACATCTCTCTGGCCATGGTGACTGCTCAGGCCTAAGCACATTAGGGCCAATGAATAATAGGCCATGGTTTTGCTTGAGTGGTTAGGAGAGAGATACTTCCTTTCTGCTGGCTCGGAAATTGGGAAGATATAGGCAGGGAACTGCTATTAGCCAATTTGTTATCAGATATGTTATGGGTTGTGTCCTCCAAAAACAAATGTTGAAGTCCTAACTCTCAATAGCTGTACATGGGACCTTATTTGGAAATAGGGGCTTTGCTGATATAATCAAATTAAGATGAAGGATTATTGCATTGCGGTGTTGCCTAAATCCAATGACTGGTGACATTATAAGGAGAGAGAAATTCAGAAACACTGACATAGAGGTTGAGGCCGTATGATGACTGACGCAGGTATTAGGGTGGTACAGTTGAAAGCCAAGGAATGCCAAGGGCTGACAGACTGACAGCTGCCATCAGAAGCAAGGAAAGAGGCATGGCACAGCTTCCCCTCAGGGCCTTCAGAGGGTAATCTTTCTGCCAACACCTTGATCTCACCCCTCTAACCTGCAAAATTGTCAGAGAGTAAATTCCATTGTTTAAGCCACCTTGTTTGTGGTGGTTTGCTATGGCAGACCTAGGAAATTAATACAATATATTACCTGGGAAGAACCAACCCCCAGGACAGTTAGTGTTCAGGGACCTAAAGAAATTGGATCCTGGTGACACTATGAGTCCCTTTGAGTCAAACCATACTGATGAGATGATCTCTGCTTTCATTAAAGAAACCGGCAAATTGTTACTGATTGACTGATTGAGACAGAGAGTCTCACTCTGTTGCCTCAGTAGAGTGCTGTGCCATCACAGCTCACAACAACCTCCAACTCTTGGGCTTAAGTGATTCTCTTGCATTACTCTCCCAAATAGCTGAGACTACAGGCGCCCACCACAATGCCCAGCTATTTTTTGTTGCAGTTACCACCACTGTTTTAGCTGGCCAGGGCTAGGTTCAAACCTGCCACCCTCGGTATATGGGGCCGGTGCCCTACCCACTGAGCCACAGGCGCTGCCCCCCAAAATTGCTATTTTTAAAAATATCTTAACACAGTTTAAGGTTTTTGTTGTTGTTTTTGTTAGCCACAAAACATGTTAATCCTAACTGATTATGTATACTGATAGACAAAAATCTGCATAATACATACAGAGCTATGTTAAATATATAAAAAAAATGTTCTTCTCTCATAACGCAAAGACAAACTTTAATTACTTGGAAGGGGCCCTTGAGGAACTTGTAGATTTTTCTGAGTAACTTATAGTTGTAGTTAAGTAACCAGAGCTATTCTTATATTTAGATCGTCACTTCTTGCGGGCCAGCCTGAAACATGAGCAATCGTTGTATTCCCAAGTTGGCTGTTTTACTGCTTTCTACTATAGAAACGATCCTCATTTCATTCTGCAGATTTCACAGAAGTGAGGTATAGATAAATCGAATCTTTGCTACGTTGTGTTTTATAAGATACTCATATTACTGAAATTCTCATCCGTGAAACTTTTTTAGCAACAGACAGGTACCACCCTGGCCTGTGTGCAGAATCGAGTCTTCCTTTTTGACTAAATTGATTTAATTATTACAGGAGGACTGCTTTCAACAGCTAAGGGTTATGCTTAGAACAGAATGAAAGCCAAATTCTTTTCACTCCATAGAGGTATTTGCTAGTGAGTGTTTGGGGACCCTTCTCTCTGACACAACCAGCTTCTTCCTCTCCTCTAAAACCATGAAACCCCAGCTAAGAACCAGGGAGACATAAAACATCCTGTTTCCTACCTTTGATATACTCTTAAGATTCTATTTCAAGCTCTATTTTGTCCTCGGGAGTTGGAAGTGACAAGAATAGGAATAACCACACACCAGAGAGTTAGACCCAGGACGTCTGTCATTTTGTTCATACAGAACCATCTTAAATAGCATTCAGCCTCTTAGAGATAGAAATTAAGACAGTAGGTTTTGTTATTAAGAGACCTTTTTTGTAATTAAATATGAACAGAACTGTCTCTGCTGCAAATTTTTGCCCAGAGCCTCTAGACTAATAAAAAAAATGTACTGTGGATGAGAATCAAGTACATTAGGTGATCTGGGTCAATGAATGTTATGGTTGCTATCACTAGAGGGATAGTAAATACATTCAATTATTATGGTCAGGCTTCAAGTTTAAATATAGGTAGTATAATTGAAGGATTATCAAATAGATTCCTCCACCTCTATAAGATACTCTCTGATGGCCTTAAACTGAAATTCTTTATTCCTCACTTTAAGTTATGAAAGATGTGGGTTAAAATATAACTGTCATCTGGAAGCATAACTCAGTAACATAAGCATCATTTATTGAACTAATATTTCTAAGTGCCTCCTCTCATGGAGCAGGTTAAAGTTTTATAATGAGATCAGCCAGTCTGTCATTTGGTGGACTCCTGAGCAACTGGCATATAGGGCATGGAGTCAGGCCTCTCAAAAAGGTGGTGAGCCATCAGAAGGGAAGATTCAGCAGGGGAGTCACAGTGTAAGGGCCTGGACCCCCAACAGGTAGTTTGACTTGCTGTCCTATGCTAGGAAGCAGGGAAGCAGGTTATTAGCACACAGCCCTCTGTGAGGAAACAATTTCTAATGCAGGAGGACAGTGCAACTAAGTTTTTCTTATTTCTGCTGGTTCCTATAATGAGTAGACAATGATGGGGTTAACTGCCTTCCTTCCAACCGGACAATCTTATTCAAATAAGCAACCGTGGCCACGTGCAGGCATGACGAGGTGAGATAGGAGGTGTGTGCCTCTAACAGAGTTCAGTCATACACCTATAACCATCATTGCTGGACAACTCTTTCTGCTTTGAGAGACCTCTGGCATCTCACCTCTTGTATAAACGTGTCCCCAAATAAGCACAAACAGGTGTTTGGCATGAAGAACCCTTGTGAAGAGAACGATTCCTTGTTTTCACCAAGTCCCTGGCCATGTAGGCACACCGCCTTGCATGCGGGGCACACATGTGTGAGCGTGCTTAGACAGCGGGGACGAGGGGAAACAAAGAGGAGAATCCTTCCTCTCCTTTGCAGCCTTCTAGCCTCATTCCCACTTCAGCAGTGACATGGGGAAAGGTCACTTCCCCTCCAGTTAAAAATCCAAGGCAAGCTGAGGGAGAGAAAGGTGGCATTGATGTGTGGAGTTGCAACTAATTTCGTTTGGGATTTCTCTTGCTTTGGAGGAGGAGTTGAAGGTTTCTCTTTCTTTGCAAGTAAGTGAGTTGATTAAATGTAAAGACTCAGAAAAATGTACACGTGCTGCCCGGACCAGTATTCTACATTAGAGTTCATTCTCTGTTATCTGGCATGCAGCAACCTGGGAAGCAACAGCAAACTGGTATCAAAGGAAGAGTGACTGTCACCCTCCTGGTCCTCTGTGTTGCTGTACCCTGGACCCAGGTCAGCCCCTCTTTCATGGCTGATGGGTGTGGCCTATGCACATGCAGTTTTCTACCTATGATCTCTTATTTCCTACACAGAACCACCTTGGGAAGCATCATACCCATGATTATTGTTGATTTGGAGAGGAGGATAGTGAAATAAAAGCCAAATCTTTCTCTGATTTTCTTGTTAAACATTTATCTCCTGTTTCTAACTAGTTGGGCATGTCTATCACATCATTAACAGAATTCTTAAAACGGTTTAAATAATTTCTTAAAGGATTGTTGATTCCGGTGACATTGGAATAGAAAACACTGGACATCAAAGTTTTCCTCAAATTTGGAAATTAGTCTCTGTAATGCAGAAGCTTCCAGTGGGTTTTGTTTCTGTTCCAGTTTGGAATAGTAATATCGACCACTTACTTATCATAATAGAAAGAGAATTTAAATAGTAATCCTTTTTTATGAGGGTACTAGAATATATTCTATTCAGTTCATTATAACAGAAAGGAAACCAATCGGAGGTTACAAATAAAATCATGCATTTGTATTCCACAGTTTATTTTGCTAAAAGCATTATGATCAAGAAATGAATAATTCAAAAATCCCTAAGTAACAAATCCTTTTTCATGTCACATATTTCACCAGAGTGTTAGATTTTTCACAAAATAACTCAAAGAAAAGTATAAACAAAATCTTTTCTATTTGAAACAAAATCCAATGGCATTTTTTTGTAGATGCCAGCATTTTACTGACAAGCAAGCATGTCAACACCTCTCCTGAGGAATCAGTTTTATAAATTTATTTCTGAATTACAGATACAGATACGAAAGAACAAGAATGCCCTATTCACAGACCAAGTTCCTTCAGAACAGGAGCCTGATGCTGTTTGTTTACAGACTTGGGAACATGCTTACATATAGAATAATAAGAAATTTTAATTTCCTGGGGTTTTTTTTTTTTTTT